CAATAGTATTCTTGTACTTCGAGAAAGACTAGAGGATAAACCATAAAACGTGGTGCGAAAGTTCTTCGCATTATTTCAATTAATTACATTTTTTCTATATCTTTGTGCTTCAAGATGGAGGGCGTCCACTGTTTTGATTGGTTCATCCTGATTCCGAGCTAAAAGAGGACTTACGGTTTATACATAAGATCTTACATTAGACATATACAACATCTCAGATTAGCCCTTTTAATTCATAGATAGGTGAAGAAGTTGATAGTACGATACGGTAGTTATATATGTACATAGAAATACAATGAGTTGATTTCGCAGAAAGAAAAAAATTGGACGAATCGAAGAATGAGTGGAACAACGTGAATCAGAATTTAGTGATATTGAGCCCACAAATCAAGTGGGGTGTGTGGATAAATGAATGAAGTGACTTGATCTGTCAAAAAAAAAAAGTATAATAAAGGTATCACAGATATTGAGAGAGGTAACGCATTTCGAAATGCATGGTATGATGAGAAAGAAAATTCAATATAGCGAAAATAAAATAAGACAACGAGGGTGAAAGCGAAAAAGAGAAGAGGGGGGAAGTATGATATTATAATGGACGAAAATCACAGTTGAAGCGAGATGATGCCAAGTAAAAACAAAGCTTTGAAAGTGGGGAACCGTCCGTTCATTACAAACCCTTATTTATTGATCATTTATTTTATACTTGTCTTCCTTCCTTCTTGAAACTTTCCTTGTTCCGGAACCGGAAGAGGACTCTGAGGCTTGCATTTTGTTATGACCATGACCGCCATGGCCATGATTGCTAGATTTCTTTGAAGATGTAGCACCACGACCATGTTCAGGGACAAAGTCAGGATCAATTTGGTCGCACCGTAGGTGAAGCAAAAGATTGCATATGAACTGTTGTTCATAACTAAAAAAAAAAAAAAGTAAAAACCTGATCATGTTTTGGAAAAAAAAAAAAGCTTTGAAAACATACCGAGCATTAGTCACAACGACACCGACCTCATCGCTCGCACAACGCATTAAATTGGGCGCAATAACAAGACTAAGCGCCTCAGCACTCATCTTCGTTGCACGGTATATACGATCATCGAGAAAGAGTTGTAAAAAGCTTATAATGAAAAGGACAACGCGTCGATTCAGTGTTGGAAGACCTTTAACCATTTCGACGCATCGTTCAGGGTCAGACGAACACGCGACGCAAGAATTGTACACCTCGCTTGGGAATAAAGGTTCTCGTAGTTCTCGTACCCAGAGTTTGAGCAATGAAGCCAATACGTGAGGATCGTCTATCCCATCCAGAGTATAAACGCCACGATCAATACGCAATCTTAACTCGGAAACGAGGTCACCATCTCCTGAAAGACGGAATATACCCTCTGCTTTTGTTCCACCTAGAGCTAGAATACCATCCGTTAAGAAAGGAAGTATAATAGGTATCTTCAACGCTGCATAATTTCGTTGTTGAAGTTTATAAATACGTCCAAGTGGTTCTCCAAATGTAGACGGGTTAAACGGCGCGTCAGAAGCTATTTCAATCTCTAATAACGATGGTGCCTTTCCCTTTGGACCACGTTTCGAAATGGTTTCAAGCCGGATTAGACAATGACGAGCCATGAGATCAATACGTGTAGACGAGGGAGCACCAGCAGGTGAATAATTTTCACTTGTATGACTCTCGATAAACCCTCTAACATACGGTTCGAAATCCTTGGAAGGAGGAAAAGTAACGAGCAAGACACAAAGAAGTTGCCATCCTCTAAACGTGCTTTCAGGCGAAGGATTTTTGCTTAATTGTTTAACAAGTTGACAATAGATCTCGTCTCGCATCTCCCCCTTTGCAAGACCTTCGGATAAAAGAGTGCGTTCTTCTTCTAACAGAGCTGCTGTTGATGTTTGAAGATGGTGCAAACTTGATGAACTATCGTGGGGAGAGGTTGGAGTATTACCATTGGTCGCGGTAGACAATGAACGATCTCGATCCCTGTCACCCATAATACGCTGAATTGCTTTAAAAGCTTTCGTAGCATCTTTATGAAGTAACTTGGGTGTCGAAAGAAGAGGTTGTGTAAGCGGAGCCTAGAAATCAATAGATCAAAAGTTCCCGCTTTCAACAATTTATATATATATATACACACACACCTTCTGCCAAGACATCATTCTCTCAAGCGGAACACGCCGACGGAAAAGTATACCCTCTCTATGCGTTGCAAAGTACTTTCTGGCAAAATCCGATTGAGAAAAACGTTGAATGTCGGATACAAGTTCACGTGGTAAAAGAGGATGAGGTCCTGTACTTAGTCGTCTGGTAGCTACATTTGGTCCTATGGTGGTTTTATCCTCGGGATGTGGATGTCCGTTAGTGTGTGTACTACCCTCTAACAAGGGTGAACCAGGTGTGGGACTCAGTCCGTCTCTATCCGATTCTGAAGATGATATGCCTCCTGGATGAGGATAAGTTGGAGTTAAAGGACTATTCAGTTGAACGTGTATGGGTGCGCCCGTTTCCGCGAGTCGCATAGGTGACATGGCAAGCGTTTTTTCTAATTAGAAAAAAGAGGATTCAGAGCGCGAAGGGACTATGATGAAACAGTAATATACCTATATCCAAAACAGGATGACCAATAACAAGTCCGTTTCCCACTGCTGCAGTGAGACCTGTATTACGTCGATCTCTTTTCCCTTTTGATCCTAATCCAAAATTCGTAGACGTATTAATAACAGCTGATGGAGGGGTAGATGAACTAATGTGACGAGGTTGTGGTTGGTGAGCACCGGAAAGAGGAAAGGTGGCTTGACGAGGACTTGAAGTACCAGTACCTTTACGTCCAAATCATCAGGGAAAACTGTTTGTTGTCTAATAGGGTTTCTTATGCTTACCATCTGAATGAACACGTATCCCAGACCTAGAGCCTAAAGTCGAATTGACTTGAACACCAGCATGCATTAGGGCGATTGTCGTACCAACTCCTGGACCAACACCAGCCGAAGACGATACTTTACGCAATTTTGAGAAATCGGGTACTATGGAAAGAGAAGATGTCGAGGGAAGAGGTGGAGGTTGCGTTGAAGACCCGTTATGCGTGGGTTTACCAGATGCAGATGCAGGTCTTCTCACAGGGGAGGATGATGCAACCGGTGCAAACGCAGTATCGACTCCATTCGGCCTAAATTTCCTTGAAGGCGAAGAACGAGTACGATCTTTGTTATGTCTTTCCTCCTGTTCTGATCCATTTATACCTCCGGAAACGATATATTCCGCAGCAGCCGTCAAGCTTTGTTGTCCGGCTTGACCTGATCCTGACCCGGCTGATTTAGATCCTGAATTGGGTTGAGATTTTGTACGTGGGCGAGAAGGAGATGGATGTAAAGAGTGTGGAGATGGAGATGGGGATGGGGATGGGGATGGGGATGGGGATGGTTGGAGACGATGGTGATGATGATGGTGATGATGATGATGATGAGAAGAAGTGGATGCAGCTGAAGGTGGGCGCGTTGGCGTTGGCGTATGTGGTTTAGTTGATCTCGATACTCTTTCCCTATCTGTTCTTCTCCCTTCTAGTCCACTACTGAAACCAGCATCCTCCGTTACTTCTTCCGTTCGCTCACTTATGACGGATGGGGGACCATGCCCGTGTCCATTGACGAGACGTTGACTACGTCTCGTTTTGTAGGATGAAGGAGAAGGAGAATGTGCATGAGATGAAGATGATAACTGAGTATGAGAATGAGATTGTGGTTGCGCAGAAAAAAGTTGGGAATGACGCCTTGTTGATTGCGATAGTCTTCTACCCAGAGCTGTGTTCTATAAAAACATCAGGCACATCGACACTGATATTATTTGGGATGAGCTGACCTGAACAACTCCTAATGGGATCACAAATCCATCAGGCTTGTCCCAGGTTGTTTCGCCGGTCTTTGTATGATAGTAGTATGATATCCCCCCTCTGGTTTCGTCATGAAGTTCCCACCATTCACCATCTGTCGATGGGGGTAAACTAAATTAAAAAGTATTATATTATTAAGAAATACGAATTCAAAGAAGTGTAGGTACATACACGAAATGACCAACCGGAGCATCCCAAGTTGTTTCACCAGTAGAAGGACAGGCATAAAACTGACTTCCGGACTGAAGATCCAATGAATAGACATCCAACAATTGGAAAATGAGAGGTAGACAGATGGCGATCAATGACAAGAACCAGAAATCAAAAACCCAAGACGTCAGATGTCATATACATAGAATCCGAAAAAAAAATACCTGAGGATCGACAAGGGTAACCCAAAAGTTACGACCCCATTCTGTTGGGGTTGATGGTGATGTCGGGGTCGACACTTGTTCTAGGGCTGATGATGATGATGATATCACCGTCTGAGGTACTGTAGTTGAAGCTTCTTGGGTTTGCATGACAGCTGCGCTCGATGTGGGGGTAGTCATCTCAGTCGGTAATTCAAATTCTGGTGCTGTTGGCATAGTTGAAACTGAGGGAAGGGTTTGTGCAACGTCGGCCATATTGTGGAGGTGAGTGAGAAGATAAGGAGGTGAGAAATAAAAAAAAATTGAAAATAAGATAATTAAAAAAAGAAAACAAGGGAAGGATGAAAAAAAAAAGCCCCAAAGCGCGTTAATGAAATGGAAGGAATGACAATGACAGTGATTTGTCAAGGAGATTAGAAGTCTCTATTAGTACTAGAGAAACACTAGGCACGGGTATACTTATTGTGTATGGTAAGGTACGACAAAGGTACGCTTACTTTGGAATCCGGAAAGACTGTTGTGCAATGGGTGCCGATTTTTTTTCTATGTATAGTTACTTAGAAAAGAAAGGCGACGACAAAAGCGAAGCGAGGCTAAAGCAGCCAGCCACCTTTCGAAAAAAAAAAGACGCCGAGGCGAAGAATTGACCGGCGATCTTGTGGAATTAGACTTCCTTAAATGGAACAATCCCCAATACTCCATTCCACTCTTAAAGTCAGTTTTAAAAACTGCTGGCCATGGTTTCATGGGGTAGCGGTTATCCCACGGGATTCTGACTTTGTCAATCTTCCCGTAACCCCGGTTCGAATCCGGGTGAGACCTTGATAGTGATATCTTTTGTTGCTACTTTCATTAATACCACCGACATAGTGAGGAGGACTTATTTTGCTATGACCATTATACTTTTCCTAGTTGCGTGCTTTTGGTCAGTATCACCATAACACCGAGGAATCGGGGATCTGAAGGTGCCGGTACCTCCAAAGCTACTATAACTTCACAACGGCCCCTTATTCCAGGCTCGGTATGCTTTTTCATTGGGCGGTTAGTAGTATCGTTCGTTGGACCATTAAACTGCCATTGTGTACGAATTTCGAATTCCTTGTCCTTGCTTTGGCAATTCAAATTAACTAAGACACGATCCTCACAGTTAACCATGACAATGATTCAAAAAAATCATACGCCCCTTCTCTTAAGGGAAAGTTATGTGAAATTGTGAATACCAAGGGGATTTTGGAGTTTGACGAAGATCGTGGGTTAACGTTCTCAAATTCAATCTGAAGATATCCACGAGTGGGAATAGTGACCAAATGTGCGTCCGGTCCCGCAACTTGCTTCTTAATTAGTATTATTGTCCCATCTTAATTTAAAATTTTTAATGAATGTTTCTGATGTTGTCAACGTAAATTGGCTTGTAGGATTGAACATGTATTTGAAATTGTTGAGGAAAAGAGCCCTATTTACGGCAAATGATAACCGATGTCATGTTGAAGCATCATACACTTTACTCCTCGCATTTTTGAGTTGATCTATCGTGCGCAACAAGATTCAGAGACGATAGACTATTTTTGGACCATCAGGCGATACATACGTTGTCTTCCATTGAAGATCCTATGAAGGCGAATGGGCAGTGTGACCATACTCTAGGTTCCGTTTGTCGAATTGGAGCGCTTTCAGCCCGTTTTGTTTGATGATATATGTGTGGGGCGGTGAGTATAAATCAAACACAGAGACAGTCACTGGTGTGAAGAAAACTTAGAAATGTGAGGTTAAGAATCTGAGATAATAACGCCCCATTTGTATACCAACGGCCACTCTATTTGGGCATAAGTACCCATTATTACCAGCAATATGCCGTGACATTCTTTTATTGCAGCCCTTGTTTTGTTGTTTTGGCGTGCACGAAAAATCTTTTCATAATACGAGGTATGTTGTTTATGCTACGGGAAAATTTGAAGTTAATTGATGTAACAATCTTTTAACTATTAAGCTGTTGCGCCGAACGAAAAATCTCGATGCCTTTACTACTACACACTGATCAATACTTTGTATTTAAAAGAGATGATTACTTGCATTGCCGTTTTCCCATTTACTGTGGGCTGGCAACCAGATGCTAACATTTGATTATTCGGGATGTCACCTTTGGCATCAGTAAGTGATCTGCTACTGGACATACTCAAAAAAATTCAATTTTCTTAGAATATCTTTCTTCCTTACATTAAAAATAAATACTCAGTTTGTCAGTTTGTTACCGAGGATTTAAACTTTCAAACTGTTCTCGAGACTGCTCTCCGAGACTCAGAAATGCCAAACCTGTAGCCAGCGCATTTCCCCATATATATTCCTGCATTATAAGCGATTTCTCACTTGCACTGTTCCTTTGTGTTCTCTCTTTTTCATCGTATTACTGTTGCAAAAATCCAAAATGCTTTAATTATTTAAGTTTTTTGTTAACCAATCAAAGCCTAAATTTTGAAAGTTTTAAGTCTATTTCTGAAGAAAGGGGGATATCTCAACTAACATAAATTTTAAAGGTATCCCCAAAGACTATCCCTCACAATAATGACTGCAAGGCTGTGCTGCCCAAACCACGTCCATGTCTTTCGATGATGAATCCGAACGGCAGCCAGTATCACCAAAATCAAGATAAATTGGACAACAAGCTCTGGTATTCTGTAAATTAAAGCACTCTAAGTGACATTTCTATCACCTGATAAGACCTATCCAAAAGCCATGATTGAAGACCAGAAAAGTGCTCCATTCCTGCCGAGGAGAATTATAACTGGAATTATAACTTTAAATTGTTGCCCTGCGATCTCTGGAAAGTGTTTACGTTTATCATCAAGAGGCTTTACTGGACAGACTTCATGTTTATCAGCAATCGTTCCCAGGTTTCTTTGAAATATTTAAGCCACCCCCATTATGAAGGGAAAATTGCCTGAAACACGAGGGTGATCATGAAGGTCCAAATTATGTAGTATATACCCGAATAGACCGTCGTCATAAGTCGGTCCAATGGTAATACGAGTTCAAATTTAGATCGAGACCCATGGGATCCAGTTGGCGGTCGTAGTTTCAGATAGCGATGGAGGTTAACTGGCGAGTGATTATTGAAGTATTGATAACTGTTGTAGCATATATTCAGAGGAACAGGACTTGAACCTAAGAGGTGAAGTAGATAGATGCAAGCAAGAAGTTGTACATAGGGCCACCACCCCAAATCGACAATAAATAAAAACCCGTCGTAGCAGGTCGTGCTGGAGGGATTAGTCTAATAGCGGGTATGAGCATACCCGTAGGAGTAGGCAATATTAATGAGGAATATAAAATACAAGCTTGCCACACGCCACGATTGACGAATGATATGTATATGACACTTTGCAGACGTTTAATCAAGTGATATGCATAATATAACACTAATTGATCAGAATACAAAGAATATAAAGGAAGATACATATCCAAAAAGAATTCAAAAATGAAACAATACATTTGTACATCAAAGGAAGTCAGGAATAAAAAAGGAAAGGAATACATTCACAATGGGAAGGAGACAAACGATAGATGGGAGGAATACAAATTAATAAATGGAAAACAATTCTAGTAAAGGAGACAAAAAAAACAAAAAACAAAAAATAAAAAGAAGCATTCAAAGTCTCTTATCTTCGGGACAACGAAGGCTCTATGAGTTTCAATTAACTCGTCTAACTTTCTCATCTCCTCAAACCAACTGTAATTGGATTTAAATATGGTGGAAAACAGAATCCCAAGGTGATATCCTGGAGAGGCTGTCGCTTTGGAGAGGTCATACCCATACGTTCGACCGGCGACGCGTTTCTCAGGCCAGGAATGTTATTTTCCGTTTTTGGTCATTGGGAAGGTGGCTGTTGCTGTTAGCCTTCATCTTCCCAGCCGATTTTGACCCGATTATCACCTCTTCCGGCCCAGTCCAAATGTCAAAAATGGGAACTGGGGTGCCTCCTTTGGGCACCTTGCAACCTCTAGTACTTTGAGTTCCCAGACGGCAATATCCCAACGCGTCAACAGGAATGTTTGGTTGACGCTTTAGTATTGGAATCCGGCAGGGATATTTTCCAAAACATGGTAATGACTAATGAGTTTAAATCACATAGTAAATATTGAAAAGAGGAACGTTTACCTTGATAAATCATAGTTATATGGTGGCCTAATGGTAATATGAGTTTAAGAAAAGCAGACTGAGAAAAAGCACACTTATACTCACCGAATCCAGTCGGCAGGGGGAGGTGGTATTTTGGTCTGTCCGAGGGTGGTCCTAAGCGATGTAAGTGTAAAACATGTTCGAGTCCGTAAAAACTGATTTGCTTACTCTTTGTCAAAAACCCACTGGCAGTTGAGGGCATTTCCATTTCCAAACGCCGTCGAATAGAAAGGTGGAAATCTGACTAGGATGGAGGGTGTGGGTGTTGGAGGTATAACTTTTATAGCGGGTATGACCATACGCGGAGTTGTCGGTATGGGAAGAAGCGGTTTAATAACGTTGGGCAGTCAAAGCGCGTTTTCTCGATTTACTTTGTTAAAAGGACAGATAATTATCTAAACTTTACGAAATAAGAAAAATATAGACATACCAAGCAGAACATTCTAAACACGTATTTTCATTGGCGACAATGACGAACTCCCGATATAGGAATCGCAAGAGTTCCCACGAAACGCGTCCCAGAACGTGCGCGTTTGCGTCCCTTTGCGCTCCCCGACGCGTTTCGAAGGCGTATTATTATATTTCCAATGACAAATAAAACGACTTTATACGTCTCGAGTAGTGATTTAAATTTCTGTCACGCGACTTGATTGGGATTAATGGTGGTGATTGGTTTGGATACTTCAGATATGGTGCGTGTTGGTGGGAGGATGAAGGGATAATTGAAGGAGATTCCGTGAAATTCACTGTGTCATAATCTTCTTTGACATCCGAAAGGGTAACAAGAAGGGAAATGGAGGATGTAGCGGCAGGGGGGGCGGTTGGGGTAAGGGATGGTAACGATAGAATAGTATGAGTAGGAGATGAAATAGTGAGAATGACTGGGGAGAATGGTTTGGAGTGGAAGTAGAAGCCATAATTTAAGAAGGGGACGATGATAGTGCTAACAATAGTAATAACAAAAGAGATATGGTACATCTTCGAGGACGTGGAGTGAAACAAACCTTTGGCCCGGGAGATATACTCGTAATCTGTTATTCCGTGCACAAACATTCCACAACAAGACGCAAATCATCCAATTTTTTGTCTAAAAGGTCATTTTTACTGTGAATTTAACTTTGAGAAATTAATATAGTCGTCTTAAAAAGGACAGTACTTTTACACTTAGTAAGCGAAGGAGGATATTCTTTTAGCCGCTCTTTTGGAAATTTCAATTTCGCGTCGACGGACGTGTTACTGTTACAACACGTGACATGTGACAGAAAGCGTGATTCACGTTTTTTCACTTTACAATGTGCACCGTCATCCGAGATCTGATCCTTAATCCTTTTCTTTCCTCCTTTGATACAAAAAATCTTGTATTCGGTCTTGTATCATGTATTCAAAAAAACAGTAAAATTTTCAGCTTTTCTCCAATGCCTTTGGTGTCTGCCTTTATAAATTATGCGCATCTCGGTGTCGCTTCACCATCAGTAATAAGTTGGATTGACTCTACCCAATTATTTTTCATGTTTGCTATGGGCTTGGTAGAAGGCAAACTTCTGAATTTGGGATATTTTCGTCAAAACCTCTTCGCAGGACCGGTAATATACGCTATATGGTGAGTAAAAATGAATTATTTTTTGTCATTTTTACAGAAAAATGAGCT